TTAAGTGAATTTAAAATATGTTGTTATTAGTTTTGGACGTATTTCGTAAATAACTCAAATAAATTGGCCAACAAACAAATATTTGAGACAGTTCTAAAAATTTTTGAAGTCTATAAGCGATTACAAATCAGTTAAGCTTTGTTGGTAGAGATAGGTAAAGTATGGTAAGGCCTGTCAAAATTAATCCCAAGACATGCCTTGCTTCCTAAGACTCAAGCTTTGTGTTAAAATTGGACCGTATATGGCTTTACAGTACAAAGGTCCTTTGGAGCGATATTGACGTTAGACAGTTACCTGAATATCGTATGTTTTTTAATATCCTTAATCCTTTATTATATTATATAAATCCCAAAAGTTTTTATTTAGTAGCTATATTATATTATTACACTATAAGTTTTACTAACCTAATTATAAGTTTTTAATGTAACTAACAAGTGGACTGCCTTAAATAAATAAATTATTATTATTAGAAATAAACAACAGCTAATGCAACATTTATGTACATACAGCTTAGAAATTACTAAAACAATATATTAATTTCACTAAGCGACCAGACCTTTTGGGTTTGACATATCCCTGACCCGAACTACAACCTCTTAACCCAAAAGTCATAAGAATCATGATAAGGGTCCCAAAAATTAAGGATGTAAAAGGGTGTACAAAAATAGAACGGGCTAAATGGACCTTTGAGACCCTTAGAACGTAAATGTTTTTGAATATCTCACATCTGTAAAAAACAGCTGTTGGTTTTTACTGGAAGACTAAAAAATATAAGGAATGTTTCTTTTACCATCGCCACTTCACTACATAGTATAAAACAAAGTCGCTTTCTCTGTCCCTATATCCCAATGTATGCTTAAATCTTTAAAACTACGCATCGGATTTTGATGCGGTTTTTTTAATAGATAGAGTGATTCAAGAGGAAGGTTTTAGTATATAATTTGTTAAGTTTTTGTATACATTGGCTAAAATATAACGATATTTGTTGGATGTGTCGGAAAAAATAAGACGCCTGGGAGCTTTCAACGAAAACGCTGCCTAAACCCTTTGAGATATAACAAAATAATGTATGGTGGAATTGTGTATCTTATATAGGTCTACAGAAAACTCCGCGATGGCATATGTCTATCTCTTACGGATAATATACTATATCTATTTTAATTTAAAACGTACCTAGGGACGAACCCGAGCGAAGCGAGGATGAGTCGCTAGTTACTTCTATAAACGTGAAAGTTTGTACGTATGTGTGTACGTCTGTTACAGCTGGACTCATTTGTATGTAATTTAACAAATAGTAAAAAAAATTACTAAAGTAAAGAAAACTAATGAAAATGTATTGAATTTAGAAGTAAGATTTTTTTAACTATCGGATACATTTTGAGTTGATCTATTCAGAACGGCTATTTTACCCACTTATAGGATAAATTTCAAAAATGTTAAAACACGTATTTATTTAATTTCATTGAAGAGTATTAATACCAAGTTTCAAGTAATTCTGATCATAAATATTTTTTTGGATTGTATTATAACGTATTTTCCCGTGGGAATTAAAAAATCTCCCGCGGTAAAACCTATGTTATTCTCCAGCCCTCCAACTATCTTCACACAAAAAATCATGCCAATCCGTCGCTCCGTTTCGACGTGAAAGAAGGACAAACAAACACACTTTCACATTTATGATATTAGTATGGATGTGGATTTGACTTATTTATATATATATATATATGTATATATATATATATATATATATATATTTATTTATATATTTGTGTTGTAATTAAATTAACATGAACTAAATATTATGAGTGAACGCTTATTTTAAATAATAAACTTAAAACGTTTTCAGTAATGATATAAAACTAAGATATATGTATATATGTACTTAAAATGTTTTTGATTTCCGTTTTCTGAAATATTATTTTATTGGTGAATTACTCAACTTCATTCAGTGGTACGGAACCCGCACTTGGCCCCTTATTAAGCTTCACCAAGATGGAGAATATTACGCATTTTAAAATTTAAAGCAAAATATAATTACAATACTACGAGTATTATAAAAAGGAAAGATTTATATGTTTGTATGTTTGTAACGAATAAACTACTGGACCGATTTAGATGAAATTTTGTAAGAAGATAGTTTGAGACCCTGGGAAAGACAAAGAAGATTTTTTATTTCGGAAATCATCCCTTAAGAGCGTGAAAATGGGGATCAAAGTTTATATGGGGTATCTAAGTTTTTGGAAAATCTTATTGAAATAAACATTACTATCGATACAGAGGCCGAATCTATAGTTTTTAGAATTTTCGTCTGTCTGTCTGTCTGTCTGTTACCGCATCACAGAAAAACCACTGGAGGGATTTTGATGAAATTTGATATAGTGATAGCTGGTTATCCGGGTCAACATATAGGATACTTTTTACCGCGGGAAAATATCTCATTTTTAGTATACTAATATGTAAAACCTAAGAATTTGGTTTTTGGTCATCTGAACGCGGGTGGAGCCGCGGGCAATGCTAGTATACTATAATGTTTCTTTGTGAAGTTGTTTTTATCTTTTTAGTTCGCTGTTTAAGCAGTCGAGTTTTTTTTTCATAATTAAATTTGTTTAATGAGCTCAATGAATAATTAATTAAGTTAAGTAAATTTATAATCTACACTACTATTATATAGAGGAAAGATTTGTATGTTTGAAACAAATAAACTCAAAAACTACTGCACCGAATTAGATGAAATTTGGTAAAAAGATAGTTCGAGGTCCTGGAAAGGACATAGAATAATTTGTGTTCCGGAAATCATCCCTTAAGAGCGTGAAAATGGGGATGATAGTTTGTATGTGGAATCAACCTAGGGACGAACCCGAGCGAAGCAAGGGTGATTCTCTAGTTTATTATATTTTAATTCAATAAACTAATTACGTATATATTACGTATACTCGTATATAAATTCCTCAAAATACTATAGAGATAGTTTTATAATAGAACACCATATTAGTGTTTCCTTTAAGAACAGGGAAACTAATAACATAATATTATATTGATACGAATGTTATTTCATAATTATTTATTTACAATGTCTATTGTGTAATATTTATCTTTATTTACGCCTTTTGAATTGTATGTCTGTCTGTATGACTCATCAATAACCGGTTAATATAAGTATATTTTCATTATAACATATAAATATGCCGGGACATTAACACACAGTATCATCTAGTTCCATAGCAAGCTACAAGTACTGTGTTATGGATACCAGATAGTTTATACACTACACAAACTTTAAATACAACATATTATAAATATAAACACCCATGACTGAAGTACAAACATTCGTGCTTATCACGCCAACGAATGCCCCCAGCGGGATTCGAACCCGCGATCGCTGGCACCGCAAGTAGGGTCACTACAAACTGATCCAAACGTGTATACTTATACTTGTTTCATCAATAAGGGAATTTTATACTTCAATAAGAAATACTTGTGTATATATATATATATATATATATATATATATATATATATATATATATATATATATATACATATTGACGTTAATTAAACCAACCCCTTCAAAGGCGGTTATTAAATTCGTACATACGAGTATAATATTCTATGAGAAGTGTCTAATTAAGGAAAGAGCTTGCATATTTGTGGTATACATTTGCTAAGTTTATTTTTAAAATAAAAAATTAAATCATTTATTCCAATGCGGCTCGTACGTATGTAGATATATACAAATTTGATTTAAAAACAACAATTTTATTCATTCCGTTAAAATCTCTGAGAGTATTACTATACATTTGGTGAGGTATCAGACTGGTTATTTTAAATGTGAAAGTTTGTATGTGTGTATGTGTGTATGTTACTCTTTCACGCTCAAACGGTTAAACAGATTTGGATGAAATTAGGGCATCTAGAGTTGGACTTAAGGTGCAACAGTCAAAAGCTAGTTCTGACATAAACATAGCAAAAATTTCTTTCTAATAAATTAAATAGATCTTAATAGGCTATAAAAGCTCTTTAATATGAAGACCTAATAGAAAAAATTAGTAGTAATTATCTGGCCACTGTAAGCTTAAAAATAAGCGCGCAAAGCTTTAGGATAATGCAGATAAAACTTAAAAAAAATACAAATCTCTTTATAATGATTTAAAATAAACGAATTAGAATTTTTCTTTGCAATTTCGATCAACAATTTCGTCATGTACAGTAAGTATATAGAACAGGAAGTATATATTTGCAAGGATAGTAAGTAATATATACGAAAACGCACCAATATTTATATTGTGGGAAAATTTAAAATAAGTTATTTTTTATTTTAATTACACATATTATTATTAATTTTTCAAGCTCGGCTATATCTAACAAAATCTTGTATCAAATGGTTTTCTATTATAAAAAAATTAAATTTTAACCCGAATGAGTTCGTTCATTTTGAAAAAAATCACCAATTACACTAATTTTATGCGAACATAATATGTTAAAACACGTTAAAGCTTTTGTCCTGAAATGAGTAAATGTAGCATTACAGCCACTCTACTTTACATGGCGGGTAAAAATCAATAAAATTTTCTTGCCACACAATGTGTGTATGATTTTACTTATTACGCTACAGATTTTATTAGAATACATATTGTGAGAATCACGTGGTAATTAAGTAAAAAATATATAAAAATAACAGAAAATAAAAAAAAATACGAACATAAACACAGATTATTAAAGCAGTATAGAATAATGTCATACACAAAATAATGAGGGAGAATTAAAAAAAAAAGAAGCTACAGAGATACCTCACAAAACGCAATAAGCCGTCCGTTGGTTCCATACATGATGTGAGGACCGACCAATGCACTACCACTCCCCAATTAAACACTTCACGATGACGTCACGATGACGTCACAATTCTAGTAATAAATTACTCGGTACTCACGCTGCAATACTTTTCGATAACGGCCAGCGTTCCATGGAAGCCTGGTACTTCATGTTTTCAATCTGCTTTTTCAGTGCCTCCTTGTCCATGGTTGCAAGAACACTGGGATCCATAGCGCAGAATCTGTTGTATAAAACACACACACACAAGTTAATGGTGTACGAATAAGTGCGCATGTGTGCGTCAGCTATGTACAATCGGTGGCAGAATTGTTTTATATTAAATTGATTTTAGCTTTCTTTGTTCTTTCATGAGTGATTCGGTTTGATGTTTTTAATTAATTTTGAGTTTTTAAACGAATATATTACAGATAACAAAATGAATTTAAATGACATAATATTTAAATAAATTAGATAGAGGCTATGAGATATGAGCAATGGCTTCCAATAATAAATTTCTAATTTATAAAGATTTGGGTGACAGTCTTCAATGCTATTTTTATCATGTTATTTTCAAATTAATATTATTATGCTTTAAATGCAAAAATTAATCTTGTGACTTATCCTGTCCTACTTATAATAATATTGTATTTTAATATAATCTATACTTATAATAGAATTCTGAGTCGAATCTGTACATTAAATATTTTTTGAAAAATCTTCTTGAAATAGTCATTATTATCGATACAGAGGCCGAATCTATAGTTTTCAGAATTTTTGTCTGTCTGTCTGGGAACGCATCACGAGACAAACACTGGATAGATTTTGATGAAATTTGGTATACTGATAGCTTTTATCCGGTTCAACATATATGATACTTTTTATTGCGGGAAAATATTTCATATCTGAGAAATCTATACTAAACGCTAAATCGTTAGTAATTATAATAATATTATTCATTGCATACCAACAAAAAAAACATAAAAAAAAAACAACGAAAAGATGCACAGCAATCGGTCTTATCGCTGGAGGCGATCTTTTCCAGGCAACCTTAAGATAAAGTAAGTTTTCATATATTAAAGAAATATTATATTAGAATATTATAGAGCTTTTGCCGCAGATTATACATAAGCTATCTCTTTCGATGCAAGGGGAGATTTTAAGGGTGTGTGTAAGTTCGATGCGCGCGCATGGTGTTACAGTTTCTATGACAACCCCTCCACGCATACATGGATAACTTGCGCAAATTTAGTTATCCTGCCATGCAACGGAATTTAAACCCTATTTATTATAGAACAAGGTTCATTCTCAATTGAAGTAATTTGTGTAAAATTAATGAATTAGACGTAATGCCCGGTAGTCGGCCGTGTTTTGTATCCCATTATTCTTCATCTCGTGCCAGAGGACCATCTGTCAAAATCTTCAGAGCTTTTATAAACGTTATGGGGTTATAATAAAGGCTACATTCGCTTATTTTGCAGACGGTTATTATATCACTGAATATGCATCGAATGCGGAGACGAAAGCTGAATTCAGGCGCTTAAAAATTTTTCGCTATTGTCTCATAGACGACGATTGTTTTATATATGAGAGATGTGATGTGACCTTTTTGAAATAACTAAATGTCTTTAGTCTTTACTAATTTGAATTACCGTATTATATAATTAGAAACTAATATTGCCTAATACATCTAATAAAGAGGTAAAGTTTGTGAGTTTGTGAGGCTAACCACTGGATCTACTGAACTGATTTAGATAAAATTTGGTAAGACGATGGTTTGAGACCCTGGAAAGGACATAGGATACTTTTTATCCCGGAAATCATCCCTTAAGAGGGTGAAAATGGAGTTGAAAGGTTGTACTGGGAAGCAAGTTAGGGAAAAACCCAAGCAAAGCGAGTGTGAGTCGCTAGTATAATATAATTTCATTTTTAATGTTATACATTCATTTTGTTCTTTCTTTATGATATACTAGATACTAGCGGCTCATCCTGGCTTCGCTCGGTTTCGTCCCTAGGTATGTTTTAACAGTTAATATGGAATAGTTAGACTATGTATATATTTATAGATATAGAAAAGTTGGTAAAAACTTAAAAAAAAAAATCAAATCATTGCCTATTTTACCTGGATTGGTCATAAACGCTGAAATATTCTTTGTTTCTTACCAACATTATAAGATATAATGAATTTTTTGTCTTTGACAAATAATTTGTTCCCAATACAAACTTTCAACAACTTTCAATTGGTTCAGCTGTTTGGCGTGAAAACGTAACAGACAGTCAGACCAGTGATGAATTTGCATTAGGGGCACTCGGGGCTAGTGCCCAGGGCGGCAAATTTTCAGGGGCGGCAAAATTCGGAGGGTGGGAAAAAAATTCTCTTCACGTTATCGAAAATGCTTATTTTTCAAAAAATTGAAATCACTTATAAATTATTATTTAGTATTTTTTTTTAAATTAATTAAAATTCCAAAAAAAAATTACGAAACTTTATGCAAAATTTCGATTTATTTTATGCAAAATTTCGATAATTGGGCGGCATTTTTACTATGCCCAAGGGCGGCGCTAAGATTGAATCTGGCACTGAGTCAGACAGAGTTACTCTTGCATTTATGATATTAGTATGGATTATAAAGAATCGAAAGTGAGTTTATTAGTCAGTTACATCAGTACTCGTCAACGCTTATATGTATAATGATTAAAAGCACGCACGTACTATATACCATAAACAGTATATAAATATATGCTGGGACATTAACACACAGCACCATCTAGTTCCATGGTAAGCTAAGAGGCTTGTGTTATGGATACCAGACAGTTGATACACTACACATATATAAACTTTTAAATACATACATATTATAAATATAAACACCCATGACTGGAGTACAACATTTGTGCTCATCACACAATGAATGCCCCCAGCGGGACTCGAACCCGCGACCGCTGGTACAGCAAGTAGGGTTACTACACACTGAGCCAAACGTGTCGTCAAGTATATAAGCTATCAATATACCTATATATGGTATATTAAGTGATCCCATGGGATAGCTGAATAGCCGCTATTATAAGAATTGGTGCCTAAGCGTTTTTTACACAATTATGCCGATGTAATAAGGAAAATGTAGAATATAGCAAGTATCCTACACTCTAACTGCGTAGAATTCATTAATAAATTAAACATGTGGCGTTAAATTTGTGTTAGCTATTTGAAACTTTTCTGAACTGACTTACAATTTAAATACAGAATAAAAATTTTATTCAAAGTAATCTTTAAAATCATATTTATAAATTAATTAAAGTAAATAAATAATATACATCAATTTAAATTATGTTAAACTGTGTGCTTAGATTTTTGGTTGTAATTCCGCTTACGTAGTAAGAATGTTGGTAGAAATAAGCCCCGTTAGTATAAAGGGTTTAGAGAAGTTGTCATTCTAGAATCGTTGAAGAATTAAAAAAATATCGTTATGTCAAAAAATTATAATGTCATTCAAACATATTTTTTTTTAATATCTATAATTCTTTAATATTAAAAAATATATATAGGTTATTGCCCGCATTGCCCGCGGCTCCGCCCGCGTTCAGATGACAAAAACCAAATTTTTAGGTTTTACATATTAGTATAGTACGCTTACATTGCAGTTTTTGTATTTTTTCTCAGAAATGAGTTATTTTTCCACGGTAAAAGTATCCTATATGTTGACCCGGATAATCAGCTATGACCATAGTAAATTTCATCAAAATCCATCCAGTAGTTTTTGTGATGCGGTAACAGATAGACAGACAGACAGACTGACAAAAATTCTAAAAACTATAGATTCGGCCTCTGTATCAATAATAATGTCTATTTCAATAAGATTTTGAAAAATATATAAAAATATATAGGTTCATTAATATAGATTAAGAATAGATCTTTTCTATTTGTTATATGTACCTATATAGGTACTTTATTGTGACGTCTTGTTTGTTGTAGGTCCAGATTATACAATAAATCCCTCATATTTCAAAAAAAATTGAGTCCTCATTGTGAAAATCTCTTTTTAAACCGATCAATTCTCAATCTCTACCGTGTCTTCTCCATTCTTCACGACTTTGGCGAAGTAAATTGTGTCCAAATGGCACGCCTATAAGCTACAGAACACAGAATATTGAACAAGAATAGATCTTTGTCTATTATAATTCGGTCCATATGAACGAAGTCACGGATATAACGAGTCCTTATAATACATTTTAAACATACATACAAAAAAAAACAGGTTTTTCAGGTTTATCATTTAAATACTTAAGTGTCCATAGAATTTATTATGAAAGTTATAAGCTGTTACCACTAGATGCAGTTTGAAAACAAGCTGATTAAACTACACCCGGTTAGTGATAGCCGGAAGTAAGTAGTAGTGTTAAATAATTTCAAAAAAAACTTTTATTAAGCATTATAATGGTAAGCGTGATAAGCGGGTTTGAGTTCATGGGTAGCTTATGACCGAACCCAGGATGCAATCTATGTCTTTGAAAAATTTTAACGTATAGGATCCTTACTGTAAGACACATAGACACCCAAACGAAGCAATGGTACCTCGCTAGTCTATTCTAATATTATAAAGAGATAAAGTTTGTAAGTTTGTAAGTTTGTGAGATTGTGAGTTTGTGACGTTGTAGGGGGTAATCTCTGGATCTACTGAACCGATTTAGATGATATTTGGTAAGAAGATAGTTTGAGTTTGATCCTGGGAAGGACATAGGATACTTTTTATCCTGGAAATCATCCCTTAAGGGAATAAAAATGGAGATGAACGTTTGTATTGGGAAGCAAACTAGGGAAGAACCCAAGCGAAACGAAGGTGAGTCGCTTTTATTATATAAAGCTCTACCGTTTAGCTGTTACTAACGGAATCCTGTGTTCCTCTTGGTCACAATCTATCTGTATACTAAGTTTCATCTAAATCCGTTCAGCCATTTCCATATTAGGTACCAGCACATACTCGAGCAAAGCCAAATAAATCACTAGTAAAATAAAAAGCTTAAGCCAGAAATTGGACTTCACTGACAGTAAAACAAACGTTCGCAATAGCCACTTCAACCTCTTAATTAAGGGCGTGTCATTACAGAATGAGAGCGTTTCTATAAAGCTAATTGCCATTTACTAGAATTAATTCACACATTCTATATGTAGATTAAAGTACGTAAATATCAAGTACATATATCAGACTTGTATAGATTATGTTAGTATATTTTGACGACACGTTT